CTGGCTAGGCCACTCGTTAGGTAGGTGAGCTGGGGTAGGGGATAACCCAACCTCTCTGGGGCTCACTCTTCTCAACAGCAGGAATTATGCCTGCCCATCCTGTAAGGAAAATATGGGGGCAAAGTGTAAAGACTGGACCTGTGTGTATAACAGACACAGGAGAGTGCATGCCGCATAGAGTCTTCCGAAGCTCAATTTTTAAAAATGGTTATTATGGAGATTTGTGTAGTCCTGGATCCTGGAAGGTGAGGAAGGGTAGGATGCGGCCCCTAACTTCTGCAACATTACAATTGAACAGACAGCTACACAGGCATACTCCCAAATGACTACCAATAGAAAGCTGCATCTGATCAAGACCAGAATGCGCACATTGTGCGGGGTTCAGCGAGTATGAAGAGAAGGAGCAGGCAACTCACCATAGGCCTGTACCAGACACTGCACCTGGCATGCTACATCTGTTCCCTCATTCAACCCTAATCATGGCCCTTCCGGAGGGGCATTATAAAAATACACCCATTTTTGCAGTTGGAGGTATTGAGGCTCAGGGAGGGAGAAGTCACTGTAGGCTGGGATGGTCAGGTCGTCTTCAGAGAGGAGGTAGGATCTGAGCCAAGACTTGCAAGGTGAATGGCACTTGGATAGGGAGAGGGTGAGTGCCTGAGGGTGAGTGGGAGTGAGGAGGAACAGCTTGCCAACAAAACCCTGAGCAAGGCCCAAAGCTAGCAAGGTAAAAGGCACTTTCCAATTGCTCCCTAGCAACTTCCCCTTGCAACTCAGAGCAGCATTATCTCTGCAACTTTACTAACATTGGGAAAGGAAAAGTCATCCTCCGTTATCTCACCATCAGCCTTACGCAAACAGATGGGACCAAGGTAGCCAGGAGAGCAAGTCCATACAGCTGTCTGGCATCAAAACACATCCCCCCCACCACCCCTCCAACTGCCTCAGGGCATGCCTCTCAGGACTGAGAATAAGTATAGCCACAATTCACTGAGCACTCTGTCTGCATTATCCCACTGAATCCTCTCAACAATCTTGTAGACCCTATTGTCCAGAGGAGGAAACTGAGGTTCAAAGAGCTCAAGTCACTTACCCAAGACACCTCAGCTAGTAAGAGGCACAGCTGGGGTTGGAACCCAGGTCTAAACTGACTCCAGAACCTGTGCCCTTAATCACTCTTGCTGTAGAGCCTAGTCCCACTAGTTCCCAGCAGCTGTATGATTCAAACAGCTGTGCTGACCATGTTGTGTCTCCTTTCCCTGTCCATGCAGCCTCGTAACACACTACTTTTCCCCAGAAAACAAAGGCACCAGAACTTCGAAGGGAACAGATTATGGAAAAGGTGAAGCACTCTCATCTTCCTACGAAACTTGTGCTCTGCAAATCCCTAAGCCCCAAGAGATGCCCTTATTCTGTCTCCAGACCTCTTCCCTAGAAGGGAGTCCTCATGTCCTGATTTTCCCTGCTGTCCCAGCACAATTATGTAGAGCACCCCTTTTACTCTCAAAACCATCTGCATTAATTGGACATGAAATTATACGGTCACCCTACCTCACACCTCAGGTCCTTTGGCAACCCTGACACATGTGCTGGGCTATGATCGGCTGGGTGAGGGTGGGGTCCGACCTGGGAGGAGTAGCCAGCCTCTCTTTGAGGAAGAAATAAGGGATAAACAAACCAAGAATGTGGCATTCAGGGGATTCCGAGTACAATCCAGCTTCTTGGGCCTGGAGGGTCAAGGAACAGAGGTAGGGGAAGGCCTGGAATGCAAAACTTGCCCTAGTTGGGGGCAGGAAGGGCTGAGCACAGCTGGCTCTCTCAAGCACAGCTGTGCCTCACATATCAGGAGCATGGAGATTTGGACACCCAGACATAAACAGGTGAAGGAAAGACTAAGGGGTCAAGGCCACTCCACTAGCCCCCGGTTTGCCTTCTATCACAGTCCACGTTCTTGCTGCAGAGGGACCCCAACTAAGCCTTGGCTCCGGGCTACTTCTGGCAAACTGAAGCCCCTGGATACAGTAAGACCTTGGGGACAATTGAGAAAAGCAAGTGGCCAAGGGTGCAGAAGTCATTAGAAATCTGAGCTCTATAGGCTGTTGCTGACTACACACAGGAACAAGCACAGGAAAGGGCCCAAATAATGTCGAGAAAAAGCCATCCAGGAGGAAGGGATTTCCTTCCAAGAATGCTAGCAGGATTTACTATTGGAAAATCTATAATATGATTTATGGGAATAAGCCAAACGATATAAAAAAATGTTAATCTCGATAGGTGGTAAAACAACACGTGCGAATGTTTTAGACCCATTCTGTTACCTAAAACACTTAGAAAATCAAAGATGTTATTGTGAACACATAGACCTCAAGCGAAAGCCCAGTATCATGTTTACGGATGAAATGCTACTGTCATTCCTATTTCAGTCAGGAAGGTGACAAGAAAGTTTCTGTCAACATCATGATTTCAAAGACCCTCACCCCGCCCCCCTTTTTGTTGGGTGTACTTGTGAGATTTAATTCAACAGAAGTCTCCAGATAAACTAAGATTACTAATTCCCTCCATTTTGGATTAGTCCAAGGAGCCAAAGTCAACTGAAGATTCTATAAAGTACGTTTAAGTTAGCAATATGATTTGGAAGTTTTGATGGATATTAGGCATTGAATTGTTTTTGAAAGTTGACTACCGATAAGAAGCTATTTTCAGTTGACCTGATTGCACCAGAATGAGTAAATCTCTAGAACCATTTCTGGTCTCAGGACAACATTACATGTCTCAAAATTAATAGGAAGCCAAAGAACTTTTGTGCCAGTTGTATGACAGTGTTTACCTTAACAAAACATTAGAATAGAAATTTTAGTCAATTTATTTTAAAATACTTTTTAAAAACCCATGACATCATGATTATATAAATTACAAATGCTTGTGAAAAATATGTTTTCTAAAAAAGTAGAAAGGAGACAGACATCGTTTCAGATATCTGAAAATCTCCCTTATGTCTAGCATAAAGAACTCAGATGTATTTTTACGTCTACTTCTGCATTTTATCTGTTGCCATATCAGACATAATGAACTTCTCGAAAATTCCACCATGCACTAGTGAGAGAATGAAAGCGAAAGGGTAAAGACCATTAAGAAAATATCCCCATAAGGTTGACTTGGAGAAATAATTAACAGAAATGACCATTTAGGAAAGCCATGAAAATCATTATGGTTAAAGAAAATTCTGATTTTCCTTGGAACAAATTGCACTACAGACATATATTAAAGTCGAGCTGTGATGTTTCATAATGCTTCGTTCATGATACAAATGAGATAAAAATCGGCAGAATGGCACAGGTCCAATAACTGACAGAAATGGCACTCTATGCAAGCAAATGATTGCAACGTGGTTAAAGGAAATTGATGATTTTGCTCAGAACAAATTGCACTAAAGACATACAATAAAGTGGGGTTGATACAATTGGTAATGTTTCATAAACGACAAAGGTGTTATAAGGATGGGCAGAATGGCAGAGGTCCAAACGCTAGAGTAGGTGGGTCTCTGGAGAGTTACAGGTCTTTTTGTGCCAAGTGAGGTGGCTCTGAAAAGAGCCTTTGGTTTGCGGGGTGGTCAGGCGGTCTGGAGGCAGCTAACTGGCGGAAGATGTACCTGATGATGGCCTTGGTGGCCTCGGACACGGCATGCTTGCCAATCTCCCCGGGCAGCAGCACGCGCACGGCTGTCTGGATCTCCCTGGAGGTGATGGTGGAGCGGTTGGTGGAGCGGGCCAGGCAAGAGGCCTCATCGGCGATGTGCTCGAAAATGTCCTTGACAAACGAATCCATGACGCTCACGGTCATCTGCGAGGGGCTCAGGCCCTTGTGAACATGCCTCAGAACCCTGGGGAATAGGTGGTGAAATTGTAGCGGGGATGGGGGTGCTGTGTTGTTGAGAGGGTGGTGGTGGCAGCAGCAGCGGCAGCACTGCCGCGTTGGCTGCTTCTGCTTCGGGCTGTTCGGGTCGGCTGCCGTGGGATCCTCCGTTTGTGCCCAGGCTTTCCTAAGAGCTCTCCCAGCCAGCCTCAGCCATGTGGGCCTCACCTTCCCGATGGCTCGAAAGGAAGGACAATGGCGGTGGCTTAGGGGCACTGGCCCATTTATAGTCGCTGCATTTCCTGACGTCACGGGCAACCTCCACATCTGAATGGACAAAGTGCAATGCAGGGAACACGTCGCTATGTCAGGCCATGTCACATGTGCTTTTGATTGCACACCCTCCTCATCCCATCAACCAATCACAGTGGGATTCTGGCATCTTCTAAACTTCGTGCTGCCTCTATCAGATACATGCCACATAGAGTTATAGATCATCTGGACAACAAACTGATTCCTGCCTGCCATATGGAACAACAAATTCTACCTCTTTTTAGAGTGGCTGAACATTAATTGAGGCTTTAACAATATTCCTACAGATTAAGTCTTCCTAAACAAGGACATAATCCAAAAGCAGACCACTGTCAGTAGTATCAATAACCTAAACTGTATCTAGTAAAGGCCTTTTATCAGATATAAACTATTAAAATATGATTAACCTATATAAGTAAGCGATAAGATATATAAAACATGAGGAAGAAATATCTAATTACTTACAAGAGCAAAGTATTTTGAAGAAACAGTTATGTTCTAGAAGAGAACCCCATAACCACTGGAATAAAAGATTGAAGAAATTCTGGACAACATAAAGGATACAGCTGGATAGAGAATTGGTGAATTAGAACAGGTGGAAGAGATTGTGCAGAACACCTTAAAGAGAGACAAAGAGAAAGAAAAGGTTAAAGAGAGCCCAAGAGACTTAAGAAATGGACTAAGAAGTTATAAAGTACATGTCCTAGGCATCCCAGAAGCAACACACTGGGTGAATTTTGGAAAAGGTCATACAGATTAAGGTCATCCGTCCCATTGGCTGATTTATGCCTACACCATTTTCACTTTAAGATGTCACCCAAAGCAGCCAAATTGTAATGATTTCAGTTTCAGGTCCCAGAGAGAGCGTGAGTCCCATAACTAGAGTTCTCACTGCCATGAGAATGACTCTATCATGGCCCACTGCTGGGCCATTTTCTTTCCTCCCAATATCATAACAGTATTTCAAAACAATGTTATAACAGTATAAATGATATTCCACTATTTTCAGTAAATGCTATTGGGAAAACTGGACAGCTACAGGCAAAAGAATGAAACTGGATCACTTTCTTATACCATGCACAGAAATAAACTCAAAATTAATTGAAGAGCTAAGTGTGAGACTTTAAATCATAGAACTCCTAAAAGAAAACATAAGCAGTAATCTCTTGGACATAGGCCTTAGCAACATATTTATGGATATGTCTCCTCAGATAGGGAAAACAAAAGCAAAAATAAAAACTTTTGCACTGCAAAGGAAACCATTAACACAAGAAAAAGTCAAACTAGTGAATGGGAGAGGATATTTGCAAATGATATATTCGGTAAGTGGTTAATATCCAAAATATATAAAAGACTCAAACAACTGAAAAGGAAAAACACAATCTGATTAAAGAATGGACAGAGGACCTAAGGAGACATTTTTCCAAAGAACACATACAGATGACCAACAGACCCATGAAAACGTGCTCAACCTCATTTCTCATCAGAGAAATGCAAATCAAAACCACAATGTGATACTACCTCACACCAATGAGAAGGGCTAGTATCAAAAAGTCCAGAAAATACAACTGTTGATGAGGATATAATGAAAAGGGAGCCCTCATGCACTGTTGGTAGAAATAATACTTGGCACAAACACTGTGGAAAAGAGTATGGAGGTTCCTCAAAATATTAAGAAGTAGAACTATCCTATGATCCAGTAATTTCACTACTGGATATTTACCCAAAGAAAACCAAAACCACTAATTTGAAAAGATGTGTGCAACCCTATGTTTATTGCAGCATTATTTACAACTGCCAAACTGTGGAGGCAGCCCAACAGTCCATCAGGAGATGAATGGATAAAGAAGATGTGATATGGGGGCACCTGGATGATGCAGTTGATTAAGTATCCAACTCTTGGTTTCGGAACAGGTTCTGATCTCAGTGTCGTAGGATGGAGCCCCATGTGGGGCTCTGTGCTCAGTGCAGAGCCTGCTTCGGATCCTCTCTCCCTCTCCCTCTGACCGCCCCCCCCACATGTTCGTGCCCACTTGTGTCTCGTGTGTGTGTGTGTCTCTCTCTCTCAAATAAGTAAATCTTTAAAAAAGAAGATGTGAGATACAGATATAGATAAAGGAATATTATTCAGGCATAAAATATAACAAAATCTTGCCATTTTCAAGAACACGGATGGAGCTAGAGAATATATGCTAAGCAAAATAAGCCAGTCAGAGAAAGACAAATGCCATATGATTTCACTCACATGTGGATTTTAAGAAACAAAACAAATGAGCAGAGGGGAAAAAAATGCGAGAGAGAGAGAGAGAGAGTCAGAGACAAACCAAGAAACAGACGCTTAACTGTAGAAGGCAAAGTGATGTTTACCAGAGGGGAGGTGGGGGGGGATTGGTGAAATAGGTGAAGGGGATTAAGGGTACACTTCTCTTGATGAGCACTGAGTAATACACTGAAATGTTGAATCACTATATTGTACACCTGAAACTAATATTACACGGCATGTTAACTACACTGGAATTAAAATTTAAAGAAAACAAGAAAAAATTTTAAAATTAACTAGAAATGGGTCAAAGAGGAAAATATGAGTTTAAAATATAAAACGATTAGGAGGAAACATAAAGGTAAATCTTCATGACCTCAGATCTGGCAACAGAATTTTAGATATGATCCCACGAGCAATAAAAGAAAAAAATAGATAATGTGAACCTCATGAAAATTAAAAATTCCATGCTTCAAAAAACATCACCAAGAAAGTGAAAACCCACAGAAGGGGAGAAAATATTTACAAGTATATGTGCATATATCTGATAAGGGACTTGTCTCTACAATATAGGAAGAACACTTACAGCTCTGTAATAAAGTGACAAATAACCACATTAACAAATGGGCAAAGGATCTGAATGCACATCTCTTCAAAGAGGATACACAAATGTCCACTAAGCAAATGAAAAGATGTTCAACATCATTAGTCACTGGGGAAAGACAAATCAAAACCACAATGAGATACCACTTCACACCTACCAGGATGGCTACAATCAAAAACACAGATAATAATAACAAAGTGTTATCGAGGATGAGGAGAAAGTGGGACTGTCATTTGTTGCCGGTGGGAAAGTAAAATCATGCAGCCACTTTGTGACCAGGCTGGCAGTTCCTCAAAACGTTAAACATAGAGATAACGTATAACCCAGCAATTTCATCCCAAAATATATACCTAAGAGAAATGAAAATCTATGTCCACATAAAATCTTATAAAAGAATAGTTATAGCAGCATTTTTTATAATATCCCAAAAGTGGGGGAAACCCAAATGTCCAGCAACTGATGAATGGATAAACAGATGTGGTATGAATGGAATATTATTCAGCCATAGAAATGAATGGAGTACTGATACATGCTGCAACCTGGACGAAACTGAAGTCATTTTGTAAGTGAAAGGAGCCAGTCAGAAAACGCTACATATCGTATGATTCCATTCTTATGAAATGTCCGGAACAGGCAAATCCACAGAGACATAAAACAGAAATAGCGGTTGCCTATAGTTGGGGAGATGAGGAGAATGGGGAGTGATGTCTCCGTTGCAGTGTCTGAACGACTGCTACCCACCTCAGGGACCTCCTTCTGTCCATGGCTAACAGGGGAAGACAGGCTTCAGAGGGATGCAGTGGCAGGCTTACCGGGGGAGCACGTCTTTCTGCACCTGGAGCGAGGGACCTGGGTTTGAGGCCCTCTTCAGATGCTCACACCCAGCATCACTTCAGGCAAGACACTTCCATCACATTGCTACTCAAAATGTGCCCCCTGGGCTGGTGCTGATCCACAAACTGTTACCATGCCACAACAGCGTAAACACAGAAATTGAAAGCAGCATTTACAAACCTCGACAGCAATCTGACAGAGTGGCTTGATGGCTGTTGAATTTAAGAATAA